AAAAAAAAAAAAAAAAAAATTGCTCAATCCCCAATTTATGAATTTTTCCTAATTTTAATTTCTGAAAAATTGTGTTGCTTGTTTCCATTATCCGGCCTCGGCCGAACATCATCGAGCGGGATTTAGAAAGCAGCGACAACAAGATTTGGACAGGGCGGCCGAGGAGGAAGATACAGTAGCGGCGACGTGATTCCAGCGACGACCATGAGTGGTGTCTACGAGGAGTGGCCATGACGCCATGTTAGATGACGCGGTGGTCGTCGAGCTCCTTGTTAGGATCCACCATACATCGTCGCCTCTGCTCGAGCGGGCCCTGATATCCCTGAAGGTGCTGCCACTACTATAGGGGGATGATGGGGGAGACGGTGGGACTGGCACGACAGATGAGAAATACGGGCAACCTCGATTGGTTTAGCGGCGACAAAGATCAGCAAGTAACGACGGCGACAGAAGTTGGCCGATAACGGCGACAATGGAGGTCAACCAGTATCGGCGAGAGAGGCTGGCTGGAGGTGGCGGAGAAATAGTCAGAATGAGGGTGTGTGTGTCAATGTATGTGTGCTTGAGCGCCCATGTGTTATGTGTGTGTTGTGTGATGATGTGTGTGTGTGAGTGGGTGATGATGTGGGTTGGTTAGTTGGTGTGGGGTGGCGTGAGTCCCATTGTTAAGGTGTGGAATATTAGCACATTGCCCTTATAATGAAGGTGTAACTTTATTTTTTTTAGACATGAGATCATCCAATCTAATAGTGACAATGTATGCTTATTTCTTTTACTGAGCATCTTTCTCACTTGAATTCAACCACTTGAATTCACTTGAGTATTAATGGTTAATACTCATACTTTTTCACTACATTTACCCACATATGTATTAAAATATCACACAATAAAAAATAATATAAATAAAAACATGACAATTCATTATATACATATACTAGTGGTCATACGCCGTGCACGCACGGCGGCCTTAAATCCGGTCTAAAAATACAGTGAAAATTTGTCATAAGTTGTTGCAGCTTTTATTCCAACGTATGACACATATATTGTGTCTTTTTTTTTTTATAAAAATGTTTTAAGATTTTTCTCTCTTGAATTTCGCAGTGGTTTATGAAACACTGGTTTATGTTTGTAGTCGAAACATAAATGACATAAAACACTTGTTGTAGAGAGTTATAAACAAACATGGCAGACTCAAATTTAGTCTAAAATATAGTGATAATTTGCCATCACTTGATTATCGGTCGATACCAATCAATCACTTCATATGCTCCTTGAGTAACTTCTTTAAATCATCATAACATGTACTTCATGTGTGTGGTTATGTGATCTAGTGATTTCTTAGTTTCTGGTGAAGGTTATGTGTCTTTAGATATTTGGGATGTGTTCAGTTTTTGTGTTGTTCTGTTTGTTTCTATCTTTATTTGCCTTGCTGGTCTTCTTGTTATTGAGATCCTACCTGAAAAATGTGTTGACCATGAAAATTTGAAATTCGATTGATGATTCTTTTTGCTTTCTGGCAGTCATTTTCATTCATATTTCTTTTCCACGATGACGAGCATGGATATGGTTTATATAATTTGTGACCAATCTTTATCATGACTCGTGCCTTTTTAAAAGTTAACAACAGATGGTAGAATCAACAAATCACTTAATTCAACATCTACTCATCATATCAAATTCTGATCATGTGGCATTGTTGGACAGTATTTATGATTTTCTTTTTCCCGGTTCTTATACATCTTAATTTTATAGAGGTACATTTCAACATATAAGATTATACCTTAGTTTATGTAAGGTATTTGTCAATGACTATTGCATAATTTCAATCATTTCAAATATATGTCAATGAGCCAACAAACATTTGCATCGCATAGAGACAAAGACATGTCTCCCATAGTATTCTTGTAACACCCCACCTTACTAGATAAATCAGAGTTGCGCATTTATTCGCAAAGTCTTTGAAAAACTAAACATTTTTACTTTGCGAGACTGATTTGGGGTGCTACCGTGAAAATCGTTACTTAACTTTAGAAAAACCGTTGTTTTAACTTATTAAAAACGTCCGGTTATTTAAAAACTTTATTTTCTGAAGAGTTTGTCAAAATATGATAAAACCGTCAAAATCATCAAAGCATCGTCAAAAGAACGTCAAAAGTAAGCGGAAGCGTAAATTTTAGTTATACAGTCCAAAACACATATATA